GGTGCTACTAGATATACTGATTACAAATGTTTTTCTCAAGTACAGTTCCGGAAAGAAAAACAGAAAAAAGTTACAACAGATAGCTACAAGCTCTAACTTTTTGAGACAGCACAAAGAAAGATAGATGTATATGCATGCGATCGGAATCCGCAAGAAGCAAGGAATAACAAAAAAGAATAAAAAATACAAGAGACATCGCACAACCTGTCGACATGCACTCTCGCGCCACCAGGTACGATTCCGAGGCGCACGAGCAAGCGCGACTGAGGTCGCGGCACGCGCACGCTGTCGCCAAAATCGTGCGCGCGTCTCGCGGCTCTATTTTCTCCCCAAAAAAAGCCCCGTGTATCGGGATAACAGGGAAAAACTACGCTGGGCTCGTGTATAGCTGAGTGGTGGCACCGGAAACTATTCAGTACCTTTATGCCATGGTTCGGCGCTTTTTTATTTTTACTTGTATATACATTGATTGGAGTCGGGATGCGTTGGAGCCTTTGCTCCCGCCACGTATACTATACGGGGAAATGTCTTTGTGAGCGACGCCACGTAACCCTCGACCTACCAAGTCTTTTTTTTTTTAAAGGAAATCAGTCTGTTATATTCCGAGACGGGGATGGTATAGGGACAGGGAGGTGCGAAGGACGGGACTGAGATGGAGAGGGAAGTTGTAAACGAGAGAGAGGAAGGGGAGGGGAGTTGCGAACTTAGCAAGAGCGGGACGGTGACCCCAGCTCGCAGATGCGTCGCTCCACAGCCTCCCGCGTCGCCAGATGCGTGCACGCGCGCCATGCATGGAGACGAACGGTCTCCGCCGACGCCACGGCGGAGGGCACGCAGCTGACTCGCGGCACAAAGAGGCCGCACTTGACCCGTCATAGCGGTCCTTGACTCGACCTCCGAGTGCCGTGCAGAGTTCAAATACGGGGCTGGGCGCAGTGATGCGGCGAAAACAGTGGACGCTGCCGGTTTCGTTACGAGTATACATTTTTTTTTCAATCACCGCGGCCGATCTATGAAGGCGCCGCGGCGTGAAAGCGGTCGCCACGCAGCCAACAGGACCACCATATGCAAATGGTGCAAACCTGCGGCTGTAGCCGAGCCATATATAGGGCAAACAGAAGTCAGCACTGAGGCCTTGCAGCTTGCGCCCGTAAATAAAATCAAGTATATAGACATACAATCAAGAGCCCATATATCAGTATTTCGTGCCTTATGAGAAGTTGGACCGTACATACGTCACAAAGCATACGCTACTGTTTTTATTTCTTCAAGTTTTCCCAAGTGTCTTTCGAGAACAATCAAGCCAAACTATAAGGAAAACCTGTTGTACAGCATGCTTGCTTGCCACGTGAATGCGATCTCAAGGCCAAGAAAGGACCCTTGGCCAAGAGAGCAAGGCTCTGTCATTTTCCACTAGACCAGAGAACAAAAAAGAGCAGCGCACGCTTTAATGCATGATATTGCTGGGAATACAACAGTCAGCATGTAGCAACGAAAACATCGGCAAAAACTTGCACTCGAGAAGGGTCTGGTAGATGTGCGGAGCTTATCAAGGGCTTTTGTCCAGACGCCTGAACAGAGCAGTGAGACGAAGAAAATAAAAATAAGAAGAGGTACAAACGTTGGGGAAACATAAAAGCCGGGGGAAACCTCAACGGTGTGGTCAAGCGAGGGACGGACCTGCGCCAAACAAGCGTTGCACTTCCTCTTCGGTTCGCGGACGGCCCTGCGATGGCCTCAGGAGCTCATAAAAAAGTCAGCAGCCAAAGCCCACAGCCCTGTCGCCACGCTGACCAGCTGACCAACAAATCCTACGGCAAGCCGGCCAGTTGACCACGTCCGCTTTGCCCAATGCCTCGCGGGGTTTCCCCTTGTTCGGAGCCGCCGCCGCCTCTCGGTGGTTCGGACAGCCGACACGGGCCAGTATATAGCTGTGCGCACGCAACGCTGCAGGATGGTTCCTCTCCCGTAGTGAGTGCGTGCGTGTAAACACACCACACACACACACACACACACACACACACACACACACACACACACACACACCACACACACACACACACACACACACACACACACACACACACACACACACTCTATATTGAAGGACAGCTAGCAGCGCTTATAAACAGCTTGGCAACCACGTGACCCCACTCTTCCAGTGCAGGACAGTTCCTTTTTTTTCTTTTCAGGAGTTCCTTTTTGCTTATATGTTTGCTTCTTCATTTCTCTTTTGCCACGGTTTTCTTTTTTTGTGTGTGTGCGCGCGGGCGTCGGGCGCGAGCTTTTGTGAGCGAACGAGCGTGGCGCGTGTGGGCGCACTTTATTGTTGTTTTGTCGAGCGGACACTTTCCCCAATTCCCCATTTTTTTCTCCCTGTACCTACTTTTGCTTCCTCTTCTCCCCTCGATGCGGGGCGCGCTTTCGACGCAGCGTCCGGTCTCCAGACACGGACGAGCCGCGCGCGGCCACGCCAGCGCTCGCCAAGTCTGCGCGACTTCGGTGCGGCCGGGAACTCGAGAGAGCAGCAGCCAGGTGAGTCTCGCTGGCGCGCCCTGTCGCGAGGCCGCGCTGCAATTGCGGCTAACGGGGAGCGCCAGGAGTCGCGGGGGAGAGAGTGACGGACGATCCGCATCCTCCGCCCCCGCTCTCCTAGCGTTGCCCAGCATCTTCCAAGGCGTGACGAGAAGGGAGAAAAACGGGTGCTCCGCGTCTTCCTCTTCGCTGCCACCCTCTTTCCTTCGACGTCGCGCTTTCGAATGTGTCTTGACGGTAATTATTTATGCGGGCCCATGGCGGGCGGGGGCGGCGCCTAGGTTGCGCGCGCACGAATCAATAATGAGCGGCTGTGGTGCGCGGCAAATGGGAGGCACCGCCCTAAACGCGCCGTTACTCGCAGGCAGCCCGCCGGGAGTTCCGACCCGACCACTCCTGACTTCGCCTTTGTCTCTCCCCCCACACGCGCAGCCCCTTTGTTTTTATTAATTGGGACGGCCCTACACTTGCATGCGACGGCGGCAGCACGCGAATGAGGCCCCGAACCCATCTTCGGCCGCCCCGGCGCGATCGAACACGATGGCATAACCGGCACGCTGCAGCCCGGCATCAAGGGAGAGAGACGGAGAGAATAACGAGCGGTGCATCCCGGCGTGCGAACTATCAGGGACAGTGCCATCGGGCACCCGTCTTAAGCGGGATCGAAACGGAGGTGCGGTATACAGGCGTGACAGTTCTCAGCCATCACCCATTGCTGGAAATAAATGTTGACACACAGGTTGGAGGCACGCAGAAAAACCATGAGGGTCCGGCAAAAAAAAAAAAAAAGTTTGTCGTTCATAAGAAACTTTTTTACAAGGCTTATACGAAGATGCGGAGAGCTATTTTGAGAGCAGTCAGCCAGCCTGTAATCGGGATAAGGAAAGCGCGGTTTCGAAAGCACCGCGGCGCTATATAGTGCTACACGTCACGGCTGCGACGAGAGTGTTATGCAATAAGCGAACCACGCGGCATCAGCATGGTATGTGCGCAAACATATACCCAAAGTCTCAGAAAGATGGGCAGAAAAAAAGAGAAAAATTACACGTACATCGAGTGTATTTAGTTTATTGGCACAACGGCGTAGCAGAGGGAAGGAAAGAAACAGAAAGGCAGGATGCAGGAAAGTTAATAAGAAAAGCGTCCGGTTAGCTACCCTGTATATTGGGAAATCGGGTATAGGGAACAAAAAGATGAGACAGGAAGGAGAGAAGAAACGACGGAAAAACGCAAAGTAAAATGTGCCAATGCATAGAATACGTGTTTTGTCTGCGAGTAGGTACGGTACTGTGGTGGACGAGCTACTATACACTACGATGTTAAGCCGCTATAACAATGTATACCACGACAATAAATAAGTTTATATTTGGCGAGCACACAGGATAGAAAAAAAACAGTAAAACTATAATTATAAACTATAATGTCGCGTTACGACAAATGAAGCATGGTGCTTCATTTGTCGTAATGCGCGGTACTGGTAATACAGCAAAACAAAATCATTTTAAGCTTTACCATATCGAGCAGACATACTCAAAAAAGTACATAAAGAAAAGACGTGCAATTCTTGACATAACGTAAGCCAGTGTGTTCAGCTTTGCTCGATGTCTGCTACATGTGTGTCCACCCACGTTTCTCCGTGCGATGTACGCTGTCCATGTTGCTAAAAAAAAGTGATCGTTTTTTAAGTTACTCTACAGAACCAAAGCGCAATAGCAATGTGTAGAGCGCTTCGCTTCACGAATCTCGATACACTTAACGCACCACTAGAATACTCGGGTGCCATGATTCTTTTTAAAACTCCGAACGACGCGAACTTCCAAATATGGCTTATATGAAGCCACTCTGAATACGCAACATGAACAACTTGGTATCAGGTGCATGCGGATGGTCTTGTGCATTGATCAGTTGGTTGTCGTTCTATGCTTAGGACGTTCTAGTACGCATATGTATGTGTACAAGCATACAAATGCATACTGCAACACAAACTGTGCACTAAAAACGGTATCACTACAGGCTAAGAATAGCAGGTTAAGACTGCGGCGACCACTGTTATGAAATGAAACGCTCGTCTACATGCAACGTGCATTTAACCGCTGTCCCGAGAAGATAATGCACTGATAAACAGAAAAAAATTCTTTCAAGTGGTAGCTATGCGTTAAAGCGTGATGAAACCACCGGAAGAAAGTTGGTCATAAGAGCACTATGTTGCCGGTGTTAGCTGCTGCGCCTAAACACTGGACTTGGTGCGGTACGTTGCATCACGTGCCCTGCTGTACTCGCCAAGGGCATGTGTCTCCACCTAAAGTGTAAACTCAGAAGTATAGTCATTTATCAAGTCTGACTGAGTGGTTCATGCTTTGAATAGTAGAGCTTAATGATACGTGTCATTGTCAGTTTGAAGATAACTGCGGCACGAGTGGTTTAAAAAAATGTGCATATCATTATTGGTTGAACACAAACACGTGCTGGCTAAGTAGACAATATAATAATGTTGGGCAACATCAGCCCCAAATGACACACTTGCCATATGAGCAAATATACAATAGTAAGTAGATAGCACACAATTCTTTTAATTACAAAACCTAATCACCGGCAACCTCCAATCCCTCCCTTATAAAAAAATGTTCATCCCGTTAGCCGACGCATACGAGTTATTTAATCTAGGAATAAAACATGTGTAAATGAACATTCAGTTTATTTATACTAGAAAATATTGTGTTTCCTAATGAATAAGTAAATATGGCTTCCTAGGATTCCTCCGTTTTAATATATGTTGGTGATTAACGTCCCAAAGTAAAGCTTTATCAAGTGATAAGCACCATATCACGAAAATCTTCGAACACTCCCCCACCCCTTTTTTATTTCTCCTATCGTGCAGTGATGGAGAAAATTCAATGAACGACTTCCCACGCACTATCAGGTTGCGATTAAATTCGACACACTGCGTGCGGTGATCAGTATAAACGGTTTTAGTCAATTAGTTATCTCGACTTATGCAAGGTTTAATTAAATTTGATCAGCAAGTAAAACGTAGCTCGCACAGTATTGTTTATAGACATAAAGCTGTATTGCCTCTTGTAAACTGTAGTTTCTATATTGCGTAAAAAAATCTCATTTCTTGGATTTATGAAGGATGAAATAGCCTGTAAGACTGATATTACAAAGTTCAATACAGTTCAAGTTTATCGAGACTGGTGATGAGTATAGAGTTACCACCAAAAGGCTGCGTGCTTTGGCTATTACTCGAACTAAATTCTGAGCAGAGTAAACCAGTGTAGACCCTTTAACCATAAAGGTAGTCTTACCGTGTCAATGAATAGCACCCTCATACCCAAGAAAAAAAAAGTCATTTTTACGAATTAAAGCACCCATTTCATGGGGCGTTCTAAACATCGTCATGGGGTGTTTTAAAAATTGTTTGAACATAGTTTTCACTAAAAAAAATAAAAATAAAAATTTAGTCAGCTTCGCACTAGTGGGGCAAAGCCTGACGCTGCCCCCCCCCCCCCCATTTTTTTGTCCTTTATTTCCTCTTTTTTATTTTTCTCTCTTTCTTCTGTTTTTGTCGTCTTTGTCTCTACTTATCTTTCTTTCTCTTTCTTCTCCTGTCTTCTTTTTCCCTCTCTCTCAATTTTTCACTAGCTTTCACCTTCTTTTCACCTTTTTCTCTCTGTTTCTTTTTCTTTTTCTGTCTTTGTATTTTTTCTCTCTATATTTCCTTCTTTCTTTTAGTTGGATTCTCTTTCTTGACAGTGCGAGAACAATCAGCTGCAAATCAATGCTGTTAAAACCATCTCTATAGTGCTCCATACACCGCGAATTTTCCTTGACCAACGCCCTTCCTTTCACATCGTTAATTACGTCATAAACATTTTCAGTTAAGCGCGGTTTGTAGGCGTCATCTTAGACACTGATACAAAATTTCATGAACATGCCGCATCTCTCGTTAAAGAGATTGCATTTCGAATCCACGCTAGCAACCAAACACGCCCGTATTTTCCACGTTACATCATACGAGTCTTTGAATTTTGCATATATTGACAGCCATATTTCGCATTGACTGTCATCTTGGGCCAATGATTAACACATACTTCCCGAATATTGAACGTTTGCAACGACTTCAGCACCGAGGAGTTAGACTAATGACATTTAGCCCATTTATTATAGGCTAAAAGTCCTTTCGCTTGCTTCATATGGTCTAAAAATCTTTTCGCTCGTTGTCTCTTAAGCATAACATACTCCCATTAACACAATTATCTGTAATAGACTGTCCATAGTCCCCTATAAACGCACCACGCACGACATTTTCATTATAATGTATTGATCATTAACACTTGATAGCAACATTATCCGGTTTTCCCAGCGCTATAACCTTCCTTTGTCGGTCGTAAGCACAAACTATTGTCAGTTCTCAACCTCATTTACAAGCAAAACTATTTGGGATTGATTGCATCGCAAATTAAATTTAACGTACAATATTCATATTTTCTCCTCATGCAACAAGAAATATTTTTTCAGGAATTAATCCACTCATCTGAATTGTGCAATTCACTGACAATAGCTCTCAATGTTTCTGTGCTGTTCTCGAATGTAACATTTGTTCTTGTACAACTGGTGTCACTAATAATGAAACCAGGTTCATTTGTCATGTGATGTTAATTAAGCTCGCTTTTTGTTCACTTCTGCGTTATCATTCGCTTTTGGTTATTTTCCTGTAATTTTTTTTTCAATGGCGAGTACTACCATTATGTTATGTATTGTTCTTACTGTTCTCGTTAAGCTTGTTCAGTTATTGCTCACGGTATATTTTTGCTGTATTTTTGTAATTACCAATCATGTAGTCGAAGAAGGTCCCCCTGTCGGTTTCTGCGAAAGTTTGGCACATCCTGCAATGTAACACAACTGAACTATATGATAACGAGTGTTGAAGATTGGGCGAGTTGGTTCGTCGTACTTGAACTGGTATAGCGCATTATCGGGAAGAAGAAACGGCTGAGCAG